GATAAAAAAATTCTGACAGAAAAATGAGGGCAGTAATCAGAGGCAATGTATGACTGGAGAAATGTCAAGAGTGGAGTACCACAGGGTTCAGTTTTTGCACTGGTAATGTTCATTGTCTACATAAACTATCTACCATAAGGAATACAGAATTATACGAACATGTTTGCTGATGATGCTAAGCTACTAAGGAAGATAAGAAACTCTGACAGTTGTCAAGCCCTTTAACCACCGTGCTGCGCCGAGTTTATTGTGAAATTCCCCTGGCGCGCATGAAATAAAGTGTTGACAAAAAATTCTTTTTTCTTTTTAAAATAATAAATTCCCTTCCCTGATCACGTGTATATAAAAAATAATGTTAAATTCCACTTACTTTGGCCGTGAGGAGGTGGACAAGGTGCGCTGTGACGTCGTCATGGGCTTGCCACTGGGGTGTGACTCGCCCAGACTTGGTCGCGCGGGCCAAGTGTCACGCTGGTGTGTGACTCATGTTAACCCTCAAACCGCGAGGGGTCCAAATGGCTTCAACACCCACAGTTGCAACAAAAAACAAAAATCCAAAAAATTCTTTTGTCGTATAAAAGTGTCCATTTGTGTTCCCTGATCACGGAAAAAAAAAAAAAAAAAAATGTAGGTGGCATATTTTAGCCGCAATAGGGTAGGGAAGTCTGGCAAAAAAGGGGCGTTGACAGAGCCTTCGCCAGGTGAGGTCTACTCCCCCTCGAGCTGTCAGACGGCAGTTGCCACAAATATATTATTACCTAATTATTTCAATGTCTGATTTATTTTTTCTTAGTTTTTTTTAGTAATATTATTCAATAGTGTGAATTGTGATATATTTATATAATAAAATGTGTGAACCATCGCTGTACTCAAAATTATGGTGTGCATATTAGTGATTCAATTATGTTCATAAAACAATAAACAAATAGCTTTGCTATATACACAGGTTATATATTAAGTATCTGCATGTTTTGCTCACCATAACGAACCACTAAGATGGTATTGTGAATCAAAATGCAACAAGGAGTGACTGCCACACACCAGCCAGCCACTCACTGCCACTCACTCCCTCAACAACACCTCACTTGCCCTCATTCTCCTCCCACAATACTATTTTTGCATTTATTCACTTTACACAGACGTTATATATAAGTATTTACATGTTTTGTTCACCATAACTGTACATCTAAGCTTGTATGGTGAGTAAAGGCAATAAGACATAGCTACTCGCACAGCTGGTGGCGGTCGCCCTCAAGGCCAGACGCACTAATATTTCTCCTCCAACAATATTGTTTGTGGTGTTATTACACTATATACACACATTATATATAAGTATCTACCTGTTTTTTTCACCATACCTGTACAAATAAGCTGGTATGGGGCCCAAAGACCATAGTGGCCACCAGTAAACATGACAAGTTTACACACAGAAATCACAATAACGTGATGCATCAATGAACAAATCCACAAGGGCCGTGACGAGGATTTGAACCTACGTCCGAGGCCATCCCAGATGCTGCCTTAACCCTTAAATGGCGCATAGCTATATACCATTTGACACCCACAAGCGCATACCAAAAAAAAAAAAATTATTTTTCTTCCTAACCTGTTAACCCTTACACTGCTCAGGGGTCCTTGGGACATTTACACCCCTGTGTGCAAGAAAAAAAAAAATTCAAAAAAATGTTTTCGTCTTCTAAACATGTTAATTTGTGTCCCCTGAGGACGGAAAAAAAAAAAAAAATCGTAGGCGACATATTTTGGGTGCAATTGACCGAGGAAGTCTGGCAAAAAATGGGCGTTGACAGTGGTCGTCAGACCCGGTCAGCGTCACCCGCACTGACAGATGGGAGTTGCCACAAAGATATTATTACCTAATTGTTTCAATGTTTCCGATTGATTTTTTCTTAGTTTTTTTGCAGTAATATTATTCAATAGTGTGTATTGTAATATATTTATATAATAAAAGTGGTGAATAATCGCTATACTCAAAAGTATGATGTGCATATTAGTGATTCAATTATTATGTTTATAAAACAAAAAACAAATAGTTTTGCTGCTATTACACTCTATACACAGGTTATATATAAGTATCTGCATGTTTTGGTCACCATAACGAACCACTAAGATGGTATTGAGAGTCGAAAAGCAACGAAGAGTTACCGCCACACACCAGCCAGCCACTCGCTGCCACTCCCTCAACACACGCACTAAACTTTCTCCCCCAACAATGCCATTTGTGGTGTTATTACACTATATACAGACGCTATATATAAGTATGTATACATTTTGTTCACTACAACTGTACAGCTAAGCTGATATAGTTAGTTCAGGCACTAAGAGTCATCGCTACACACACAGTCAGCTGGCGGCTCCCTCACTCCTTCAAGGTCACACGCACTAAACTTTCTCCCCCAACAATACCGTTCGTGGTGTTATTACACTATATACAGACGTTATATATAAGTATGTATATATTTCGTTCACCACAACTGTACAGCTAAGCTGATATAGTTAGTTCAGGCACTAAGAGTCGTCGCTATATACAGATGGCGGCTGGCGGCTCCCTCACTCTTTCAAGGTCACACGCACTAAACTTTCTCCCCCAACAATACCTTTTGCAGTGTTATTACCCTATATACACATATTATATATAAATATCTACATGCTTTATGCACCGTAACTGTACACCTAAGCTTGTAGTGCGCCCAAAGAGCATAGTGGCCACCCTCTAAACAGCTAGACAAATCGTGCAGACGACGTCACCTCCGTCACCCATATGGCTCCTCCCAGCATAATCCTTTTGCTGTTATTACACTAATACACACATTATATATAAGTATCTACATTTGTGTTCACTATAGAGAACCACTGACCTGGTATGGTGAATGCAAACAATAACAGCTAGCCACACAGTCAGTAAACGATGCTGTCTCCCTCCATCTCTTGGCATCACTCCTCCCACAGCGCTAATTATTACAACAATCCTGCTATTATCACAACCCTGGTTATTTATATCACTGTCATGGGTCATCTGTAATATTGTCATCGCTAAATAATAACAATTATATATTTATTTTGACATTTTTCGGCGATGCTGTGGTCACAAGCTGAACAGCAATGCTGTTCGCTCATGCTGCGTGCGCCGGCCTTGGTTGCTCCAACAGTACTGTGCCTCTCACACCTGAGAATATTGCCCACGATTTTTTTTTTAAATGGCATCTGTTTACAAGAGCCCTGAGGAAGCTACTGTGAACCCCGTGTAGCCGCGGGCCATTTGAATGAGGCCTGGCACCCTATGGCGTATATATACGCCATGCGCACCATGGGACATGTTACTCAGGGCGTATATATACGCCATGCGCAGTTTAAGGGTTAATTTGTGTTCACTGATCACGGGAAAAATAATAAAAAAATTGTAAGTGGCATATATTGCCCACTATAGGGCGGGGAATTCTGGCAAAAATCGGACGCTGACTGAGCGTGCGTCCCAGGCGGTCTGTTGATCGTCAGCCGTCAGGCCAGAGTTAAAACAGAGATAATTACCTAATTATTTCAATATGTCTGATTGATTTTTCGTAGTTTTTTTGCTGTAATATTATTCAATAGTGTGTAGTGTGATATATTTATATAATAAAAATGAGTGAATCATCGCTGTACTAAAAAATATGGTGTGCATATTGTTGATTCAATTATGTTCATCAAACAGTGAACAAATACTTTGTCGGTTATTACACTATATACACAGGTTATATATAAGTATCTGCATGTTTCGTTCACCATAACGAACCACTAAGTTGGTATGCTGAGTGGCAGTGACTGGCTGCCACTCCCTCCCTCACCTCACCTGACTTGCCACAATTCTCCACCCACCATACTGTTTTTGCTTTTATATACAGGCGTTATATATAAGTATTTACATGTTTTGTTCGCCATAACTGTACATCTAAGCTTGCATGGTGAGTAAAGGCACAAAGACGTAGCTACTCACACAGTCAGCTGGTGGCGGCCGCCCTCAAGGCCAGACGCACTAATATTTCCCCTACAACAATACTGTTTGTGGTGTTATTACGCTATATACACACATTATATATAAATATCTACCTGTTTTATTCACCATACTTGTACAAGTAAACTGGTATGGTGCCCAAAGACCATCGTGGTCATCAGTAAACAACATGGTAAGTCCTGCAGACGACGCTCCTCCTTCACCAAAATGGCGGCTCCCAACCTCCTACTCTCGCTGTTATCTCACACTATACACACGTTATATATAAGTATCTACATTTGTGTTCACCATAGCGAACCACTAAATTGGTATGGTGAGTGCAGTCAATAAAAGGTGGCCACACACAGTCAGAAGACGACGCCACCACCCTCCCTCCCACACACAGCATTACTCCTCCCTTCCATGGAGCACAGCACTAAATATCACCACAATCCTGCTATTACCAGAATCCTGATAAATTTTATCACAGTCAAGGGTCTTCTGTAATACTATCATTGCTAAATAATAGCATGAACATATATATTTTTACATTTTTAGGCGATGCTGTGGTCACAAGCTGAACAGCAGTGCTGTGCGCTCTTGCTGCGTGCATCAGCCTTGGTGGCTCGCTCTATACCGACACTCTCACACCCAGGAATGTTGGCCACGATTTTTTTTCTAGGTGGCATCTGTCAACTATCAGTCATGGCTGCACTATAGCTGCCCGTATCCCACGCGGGGCATTTAAATTAAGGCGCTAGACACTAAAATGGCTATTAATGTATTGCGTGGTTTTGGTTTTGTTACTGATATCATCTATGTATGTATTGCGCGGTTTAAGGGTTAATGCTTTATTGTGTGTGATGATTTGGAGAATTGATAAATTATATTTATCTTTACCTATACTGTTTCTGTACTTTCACTTGACCAATGATTTTTAACCATATAAAAAGTGAGAAATGGGGTAAAGGTGATAACTAGTGATATCTAATTATTTCACATTTCTTCCCAGTTGGCATGTTTGTCAGTGTAATCATTGGAGCATCCTTCAACTATGCCTGTTCGCCATTGTTCTTCGAATTAGCTGTGGAATTGGCATACCCAGTGCCCGAGGGTGTAGTTGGAGCATTTCTTACGATGACGTGGAATATAGTTTGTGCTATTTTCCTTCTTACTATGCAGACAAAAATGAAAAGTAAGTTAAAATATGAAAATATTGTATATTTTGTCACTGGCTTATGTCTTGCATGCCAAATATTGATACCAGGTTTACTACTACTGTATTACTATTTGTATTTAGTAAATAATATCTCAGATCCCCCTTGTTCTTGTCATCTTTCCTGGACCCACTGGCTCGTATTTCTTTCCCTGTACCCCAGCAGTTCATATTTTCTATGGTGCCATGTTCTAATAATAATAATTCTTTGTGTCAGGGGACAGGAAGCCAGTGTGCATTTATACACGTTAGGCTTACATCAAGGTTGAATTACTGACCCCGCCCAGGATGCAACCCCATAACAAGCTGACTAACTAATGAGTACCTACGTACTGCTAGGTGAACAGCAGCATTAGGTGAAAGGAAATGTTACCAACCATTTCTGTCCCGCCTGGGATTCGAACCCGAAATTCTCAATTGTGCATCGAGAACGAATGCGTCTGTACTACCAGGACCCTGTTGTTCTCATTCTCATTGAAAATTCCCATTTTGTATTGCACCACATAACATTTTCTATGATGCTATATTTTATTTTCTACTGTCATATTCTTATTTTGTATAGTACATATTCTAATTCTCTTATGATGCAATATTCTATTTTCTGTGACGGAATATTCTTTTTTCTACTCTATATTATAGTTTCTGCAGGGCCATATTCTAATTTCTGCAGTATAATGTTCTAATTTCAGCAGTGCCATGTTGTATTTTCTCTGATGCCATATTCAGTTTTCTATGATGCCATGTTGTATGGTGCCATGTTCTGTTGTTCTGTAAAGGTGTTTTAATGATGTCATGTTCTGTGATCTCTACAGCCAATTTGTGTACAAATACTTGAAGAAAGTATCTACCCATAGCAAATGCTAACACAGTGAAATTATATAATTTAACTCTTTAATATATCAATAAGATTTTAATTAACATGTATATTTTTTGATCAGGTGTGATATGGATGGATTATATATTAGCCATTCAAGGAATGGTCGTCGTGCTACTGCTCATTTTCTTGAAAGAAGAATACAAGCGAACAGCTGTTGACCGGAATACAAATGCCACACGTGCTCCAAGCAATGCTCCTGAGGTGGAGGCGTAGTGCACTCATAATAAAACTGTACCAAAGAGTCTTTGTGTGTGTGTGTGTGTGTGTGTGTGTGTGTGTGTGTGTGTGTCAAGTATCATAAGCCTGCCAGATCAGAATCATGGATTCATCTTGGGCTTGTAATGCTTGACAACTGTATAGTAGTGAACAATTTTTTATCGAGAAATATATATTTTCTCTAAGCAATCTCAAGGACAAACCTGTTCTAGATAGTACATTCATGTAATATTAGTGTAGAATTTAGTGTTTTGTGCGTGTGTGTGATATTCACGTAGGCCAATGCCTGTATGACCCCTTCCAGTTGAGTTGGATATATTTATGTACATTCCCCTCCCCTTCCTCGGCCCCATTCAGTTACTTGCATCATCAAAGGTTCAAGCAATTTACCAGTGTTGTATTATCTACAAACTGTTGAAACATTTCTAATGTATAGCAAGCATTAATATGTTCACTTAATGCATTTTTAGATTTTCATTGGCAATTCCTACAGGTCTGTTAATTTATCTAAATGCAGGTGTATAGTTTAAAGAGTCCAGAGCTCTCTGGTGTGTTAGTAACCAAGTGTGGGATGTCATTCTGGGTCTTATAAGTGTTACTCTCTTCCCAACTAAATTGGGAGGAGTAATATACTGCTGTAGTTTTTATTTATTTATTATATAAAGAATATTTGCATGATAAATGTATTTTGTTTTAAATTTGTTTTCAAGAAGTATATACATGAGTATATATATAATTACATCTAGTGTGTGTGTGTGTATTCACCTAGTTGTGCTTGCGGGGGTTGAGCTCTGCTCTTTCGGCCCGCCTCTCAACTGTCAATCAACTGTTTCTACTACTTTTTTTTTTCCCACACCACATACACCCCCCCCCCAGGAAGCAGCCTGTGACAGCTGACTAACTCTCAGGCACCTATTTACTGTTAGGTAATAGGGGCATAGGGTGAAAGAAACTGCCCATCGTTTCTCGCCGGCAGCCGGGATCAAACCCGGGACCACAGGATCACGTGTCCAGCGTGCTGTCTGCTCGGCCACTGGACCGAGTGTGTGTGTGTGTGTGTGTGTGTGTGTGTGTGTGTGTGTGTGTGTAAAATTACCTAAGTGTAGTTACAGGATGAGAGCTATGCTCGTGGTGTCCTGTTTGCCCAGCACTCTGTCATAATGCTTTTAAACTACTGACAGTCTTGGCCTCCACCACCTTCTCACCTAACTTGTTCCAACCGTCTACCACTCTATTTGCGAAAGTGAATTTTCTTATTTTTTTCAGCATCTTTGTTTAGTTAGTTTAAATCTATGACCTCTTGTTCTTGAAGTTCCAGGTCTCGGGAAATCTTCCCTATCAATTTTATCAACTCCTGTTACCATTTTGTACGTAGTGATCATATCACCTCTTTCTTCTGTCTTCTAGTTTTGGCATATTTAATGCCTCTAACCTCTCCTCGTAGCTCTTGCCCTTCAGTTCTGGGAGCACTTCGTAGCATATCTTTGCACCTTACCTTGAGGTGCTTCCGGGGCTTAGCGTCCCTGCGGCCCGGTCGTCGACCAGGCCTCCTGGTTGCTGGACTGATCAACCAGGCATCAACCTGGTGTCGATCAGGTATCGATCGGGTATCAACCACCTTTCTCAGTTTGTTGATGTGCTTTTTAAGATATGGGCACCACACAACCGCTGCATATTCTAGCTTTGGCCTAACAAAAGTTGTGAACAATTTCTTTAGTATTTCAGCCATCCATGTATTTAAAAGCAATTCTGAGGTTAGAAAACATAGTGTAGGCTCCTCGCACAATGTTCTTTCTGGTCCTCAGGTGATAGTTTTCTATCTAGAACCACCCCTAGATCTCCCTCTTTATCAGAATTCTTTAAAGATTTCTCACATAATATATAGGTTGTGTGGGGTCTATGTTCTGCTATTCCACATTCCATAGCATTGCATTTATTCAAATTAAATTCCATTTCCCGAGTGGTGCTCCATATACTTATTTTGCCCAGGTCTTCTTGAAAGGCATGACAATCATCTAAGTTTCTTATCCTTCCTATTATCTAAGCATCATCAGCAAACATGTTCATTTAATAATGTATTCCATCTGGTAGATCACTTATGTAGACAATGAACATCACCGGTGCAAGAACTGAACCCTGTGGTACTCCACTTGTGACATTTCTCCAGTCCGATACATTGCCTCTGATTACTGCTCTTATTATTCTATCAGTCAGAAAATTTGTCATCAATCTTTGGAGTTTACCTGTCACCCCTCCAATATTTTCCTGTTTCCAGAACAACCTCTTATGTGGAACTCTGTCAAAAGCTTAGGTCTACATGGATGCAGTTAACCCAACCATCTCTTTCCTGTAAAATCTCTGTGGCTCGATCATAGAAACTGAGTAGATTCGATACATAGGATCTTCCAGATCGAAAACCATACTGTCTGTCTGATATTATATCATTTCTCTCCAGGTGTTCTAACAATTTAGTTTTATTATTTTTTCCAATATTTTGACTATTACACTTGTCAATCATACAGGTCTATTGAGGATGGGGGGTCTTCCCTGCTGCCCCTTTTGTAGATTAGAACTATGTTAGCCTTTTTCCACACATCTGCTACGACTCCTGTACACAGGGATGTCTTAAAAATCAGTTGAACTAGAATGCTGAGCGCGGGTGCACATTTTCTCGGAACCCATGGTGAAACTTCATCTGGGCCAGCTGCTTTGTTCTTTCTTAGCTCCAGGAGCATTTGTTTCACTTCGTCTCTAGACATCTCTGTGCTGTATGCTGTTCTCTGGAATTCTTATTGTGTCTGGTTCTCTGAAGAACTCATTTTGTACAAACACACTTTGGAACTTTTTGTTTAATGTTTCACACATTTCATTTTCATTTTCCATGTACATGTCCCACATTTTCAACCTCTGAATATTATCCTTTACCTGCAGCTTGCTTTTAGTGAATTTATAGAAAAGGCCTGGATCTGATTTACATTTGTCTACTATACCGTTCTCAAAGTTCCTCTCTGCCTCTTCTGTTACTGACGTGTAGTTGTTTCTTGCATCTTTGTATCGCTGGTATGTTTGGGGGTTTGGCCTCTTTCTATAATGATTCTATGCTTGTGTCTTTTGATCTTTAGCCCTCTCGCAATTTTTGTTGAACCAACCCTGTTTCCCAGGTCTGCATATCTGTTTTGTATGAATGTTTGTGTGCCTTCATCATATATTTTGCAAAATTTGGCATACATCTCATTTACTTCTTAACTAGCAACATGTCTGTCCAATTATACCCCATGAAAAAAAAAAATCTAAGTGTGTGTGTGTGTGTGTGTGTGTGTACTTGCCTATTTGTGCTTGCAGGATCGAGCATTGACTCTTGGATCCCACCTTTCTAGTCATCGGTTGTTAATAGCAATGACTTGTCCTATTTCCCTATCATATCTAGTTTTAAAATTATGAATAGAGTTTGCTTCCACAACTTGTTCCTTAAGTGCATTCCATTTCTCCACTACTCTCACGCTAAAAGAATACTTCCTAACATCTCTGTGACTCATCTGAGTTTCCAGCTTCCACCCATGTCCCCTCGTTCTGTTACTATTACGTGTAAACATTTCATCTATTTCCACTTTGTCAATTCCCCTGAATATTTTATAAGTTCCTATCATATCCCCTCTCTCCCCTCTTTTTTCTAGTGTCGTAAGGTTCAGTTCCTTCAGGCGCTCTTCATATCCCATCTCTCGTAACTCTGGGACACGCCTTGTCGCAAACTTCTGAGCCTTTTCCAGTTTCCTTAAGTGTTTCTTCAGGTGGGGACGCCATGACGGCGCGGCATACTCTAAGACTGGTTGGTCCCACGTAGGCACTGTAAAACGCCCTAAAAGCCCCTCACTTAGGTTTCTGAATGAAGTTCTAACTTTCGCCAGTGTAGAGTACACTGCTGTCGTTATCCTATTTATATGTGCCTCAGGAGTTAGGTTAGGTGTTACGTCCACTCACAGGTCTCTTTCTCGAATCGTTACAGGTAGGCAGTTCCCCTTCATTGTGTACTGTCCCTTTGGTCACCTATCACCCGATCCCATTTCCATTACTTTACATTTACTCGTGTTGAACTCTAGTAGCCATTTCTCTGGACCATCTCCACAACCTGTTCAAGTCCTCTTGGAGGATCCTACAATCCTCATCTGTCACAATTTTTCTCATTAATTTTGCGTCATCCGCGAACATTGACATGTAGGATTCCACTCCTGTAAACATATCATTTACGTAAATTAGAAAGAGGATTGGTCCCAGCATCGATCCTTGAGGTACTCCACTCGTTACTGTTAGACCGTCTGACTTCTCGCCCCGTTACCATTACTCTCTGGCTCCTTCCTGTTAGGTAGTTCCTTACCCATGTTAGGACCTTTCCTCTTACTCCTGCCTGCCTCTCCAGTTTGTATAGCAGTCTCATGTGCGGTACTGTATCAAAGGCCTTCTGGCAGTCTAGAAATATGCAGTCTGCCCAGCCTTATCCTTGTTATTTTATCATAGAATTCCAAAAGGTTTGTTAGGCATGATTTCCGTGTCCAGAACCCATGTTGGCGTTTGTTTACAACTCCAATGCTCTCTAGGCGTGCAACAAGTCTTAGCCTAATTATTCTTTCAAGTATTTTGCAGGGGATGCTTGTCAGTGATACGGGTTTGTAGTTAAGTGCCTCCTCCCTATTTCCTTTCTTGAAAATCGGTACAACATTTGCCTTCTTCCAGCAACTGGGCAATTCTCCCGACATAAGTGACTCATTAAAGATCATTGCCAGAAGCACGCTGAGGGCCTGCGCTGCCTCTTTTAGTATCCACGGTGATACTTTGTCTGGTCAAACCGCTTTAGTTGCATCCAATGTTGTCAATTGTTTCATTACCTCCTCTGTTGTCATCTCTATATCTGATAGTCTTCCGTCTAAGGTAATCTCTTCTAACAATGGGAGCTGCTCGGGCTCAGTTGTGAACACTCCGTGGAAACTTGCATTCAGTACCTCACAGATTTCATTGTCACTTTCTGTATATGCCCATTGAGTTTTCCTCAGTCTTGTCACTTGGTCATTTACCGACATCTTCCTTCTTATATGGCTATGTAGTAATTTAGGTTGGTTTTTCGCCTTGATTGCAATGTCATTCTCGTAATTTCTTTCCAGTACTCGTCTTATGTTAATGTAATCGTTCCTAGCTCTGTTACATCTAATCCTGTTGTCCTCTGTCCTTTGTCTTCTGTACTTCCTCCACTCCCTTCTGCTTTTTTCCTTTACTGTTGGAATAAATCTCTCTTCAGCTTTCTTGCATTTCCATATGACTTAGTACATCATATCTTGCACTGTTTTTCCTCTAATTTCTTCCTCCCACTGCACTTCTCCGGTGTAGTCCCTTATCCGTCTGTAGTCCCCTTTCCTGTAATCAACTCTCCTTTCCCGGACCGCTTGTCCTTTGGTCACAACTTTGAGTTCCATCATGTAGTCAAAGACTAGGGCACAATGGTCGCTGGCTCCTAGTGGTATTTCATGTTCCAAATTCTCGATGTCTTCTACATTCTGGGTGAAAATTAGATCTAATAGGCTCGGCGTATCCCCTCCTCTTTCTCTTGTATCTTCCTTCACATGTTGTGTTAGGAAATTCCTGTCAATAACGTCTACTAACTTCACTCCCCACGTTTCCTCCCCGCCATGGGGATTCCTTGTTTCCCAGTTTATCTCTCCATGATTTAGGTCCCCCATGACCAGCAACTTCGCTTTCATTCTTTGCGCTATTGTAGCTGCCCTCTGCAGTTCATCTACACATGCCTTGTTGCTGTCATCATACTTATGCCTGGGCTTTCTACTGTTTGGTGGGGGATTG